ACTAAACATTGGCCAACTTGTTTATTACTGAAGGGGACACAGTAAATAGTAAGTTGAATAAAACCTGCAAATTAAAATGCTAAATTAGTGTCTGGGGCGCCATTTCAGAGTTTTTTTCATGGGGGGGGGGGCGAAACTAAACATTGGCCAACTTGTTTATTACTGAAGGCGACACAGTAAATAGTAAGTTGAATTAAACCTGCAAATTCAGCGAAGGATGGCGAAAGCCCCACCCTGCCTTACTGATATGGCGCCCATCATTAGTGTGTGTATAAATTAACATTTATACTACACGTCATAGTAATACAAGAGCCATAGACATATACTCACCCCCTATAGTAACAGTAGGTGCAAGCAACGATGTCAAATGGAAATCAAAACCAAGAATACGGCTATATTAACTCTTTACGAAAGACTGGTCTCTTTGACGATGTTGCACTGTAAAGGAACACGCAGCCGGTTTACTTGGGAGTTAAACTAGATCAAAAATTGCAAATGCATAAAATGAATCTCAAAGCAATCGTTTAGTTCAACTTGTGAAAAAAATACATAAACTAATTTGGGCACCGGACCAGGAACACTCAGAGCTCTCTTCCATAGTAGTGACAGACCAGTGATGGACTAAAGCATGCTAGTCCAATACTTTGCAAGCAAAACTTTAATAAACAAATGGACAAAATTCAGAATCAGGATCTGGTATTCATTTGTGGTGCATTGAAGAGCAAAGCCAAAGCTGATGTGCAAATCTTAACCAAGTAGAGACTTTAAACATCACAAGTAACAATCTAATTTTAACTACCATGGAATTGTACAGAAATAAAAAAAAAAAAAACTTTACTTCTAAATGCTGTATAACGAAGTCGCGGGAAGTACACTGAAAATTATTACTTCATTTTTTTAGTTGTGGAACTTAAAGGGACATTCTAATGCCACAACAAAAGAAAAATACTTACCCATTTCCTATCAATTTGATATAAGTGGAACCTTCCAGTACCAAAATAAGTTTGACTCTGATTGACACTACAGTTGAAACTGTTTTCTCCGATGTAAGATAAGCTCTCGGGATCTTAAATTAGGATTAACGTAAAACTCATTTGGTCGACGCCATCTTACAAATGTGGGCAGGGTCGAGCTTATCAGAAGCAGGTTAAAATTGTAACGGGTTTAAAGCCACGTAGAAGTGAAGGGCAGTGAAAGTGCAGACATATTGAGAAAAAACAAGAGCTGCTCATTCCCAGCCATAAACACCAACAAATTATCTTGCTATCTAAATTGGCTGGTGGGCCACTTTAGGAAAGAGTTGTATGGATAGTATGCAGACAGCACGAAGGTCAAATGTGTAAATGCAAATATGCTGCATCATAGCACTAAAAGCACTGTTGGGAAAACCAGGTTGCCACCGGAACACTTCCCCAATAACTCATACTTCAACAGGCTGGACAACAACAGGGATCCGATCTGCACTGGAAGTTGCGTTGGAGCTCAAGACAATGATGTATCGCACAGCCCAGCAGTTATCATTAGTTGCCAATGTACTAATCGAATCATTATGATTGAAAGCATAAGCTAAAGCCCCAGCAAAATAGGTATGTTATTTAATATACCAGAATCGTGCGGTCAGAATTTTTTTTTTGATATTTCAGATCTGAATATTACTCAGATTACTTTATGTCTAGGGCTTTTTTCTTCTCATTTGTATTTTCCAAATAGATTTATTTTACTAAACGTTTAAAAAAATATATATAAAAAAACTACCGCATTGCATTTATCATAAATGGCACAGGGTGATTTGAGAAAACATACAAGAAAGCTAAATCCTGCTGAATATCAACATGAGTGGCACAGCTAGAGTAAGTGCCATCCCGATCAGTTTAATATTTTAGCCACGAAATAATAAGCACTTGACCAAAAAGTTGCACCTTTATAACACCAGCAAAAAAAAAACGTTGGTCAGGACTGCGCCCCCCCCCCCCCCCCCCTTGCTTTCGCACGTAACTGCCCGAAAATATTTAATTAACATTTCTTCTAACGTACGTTTAATGTTTTATATTAAATCCACGAACAATATACGTATGAATAATTTCAAAACTGAAACAGAAACCATTCTTTAATTTTTTTCAAAAAGATAATTTGCAGTTTTATTTGTGAAATAAGTATTCTAAGGTCATGTCAAAGAAATTTCAGTTCAGCACTGTTGATTTATCTTAATGGAACTTACAATTTTGATGAATAAAAATACAATAGTGGTTAAAGTGTAACCTTAGGGACGGGCCGATTTAAAATTCCTTTTTCTACTACTGACTAGCATGGGTTAAATTAAAATTTAGTCAGTTTAAACTTCCTCTTTAAGGAATGGGATTTTCTTAAAAGCTTTAAAATTCTATTATTTTAAGGTTATAATACATTTAAAATGTTTAATTGTAATGTTATAATGACAAAATAAAGTTATAAAACACAACAAAATAACTACAACTTACAGTTTTCTTGGCAGGTAAATGGAAACGGACAGGTTACTTTGGGAAAAACCAAAATTATATTTAGGGTATTTATTTTTAACTAGGTTCAACATATTTGCCGCTTAATATTATTTCGTTTCCATTAATTAGAAAAAAAAAACCACAAACGGGAGAAGGTCTTCACAGATGTAAAGGATCTGGGACGATTCCCCTCGCCATTTTCTTTCTCTCTTTTTTGGTCAGTTCATTGCACCGTCAACGATAAGGAATTCATTTAGTTTGTTGCTTTTGAAAAATAAATTAACGCCACAATTTGTGTGAGGTAAAAAAAACCATCAAGTCAGGTTTATGTGTCACACTGGTGATGTGTGAGATGTTTATAAGTATGTACAGAAACTAAATATAAATGTAATAGAACTACGCTATCACGCGATAATTGGGTTCATTCGATCAGACTCGTTTTAGCGGATTATACTATATTCCTTGCGAATACCATTATTTTTTTTACAAAACCAGCAATACATGGGCGCCCGCAGGTAGGGGGAAGGGGGCGGGGCACTTGCCCCAACCCCCCCTCGCCCCCTGGATTGATTGCATAAAAAAATTTAGAAAAAAATAGACAAAAAATGTATTAAAGTAAAGAGAAAATAAAGAGAAAGTAACTAAGCTAATGTCCTGTCCGTTCGTTCACCATACACACACGCTACAGTAAATTAAAACTATATTAAAACATTACTAAAAATTTTTTGCCCATCCCTACAAAGTTAATCGGTTTTATTTGCCCCCCCCCTCCTAAAAAGTTTTCTGCGGGCGCCCATGCAGCAATACTCGTGATTTTGTTATAAACCATGGTATTTTTAATCTCTAATGTAATGTCCTGTCCCTTCGTTCACCATACACACCCGCTACAGTAAATTAAAACTATATTAAAACATTACTAAAAATTTTTTGCCCCTCCCTACAAAGTTAATCGGTTTTATTTGCCCCCCCCCCCCCTAAAAAGTTTTCTGCGGGCGCCCATGCAGCAATACTAGTGATTTTGTTATAAACAATGGTATTTTTAATCTCTAATGTCTAGTGGCGATATGTTGTATTGAAATTGAATCTTTTAAGTTGATTGGTTATTTTCTTCTATACGAGACTATATATTTTATCAATTCATTTTTTATGTATTGTAAACAATTAATGTATACTAAATTCATGGAATCATTCAACGGAGGCGTCATATCCACATTTGCGAATTTAGGCTAAAAATTCCTAACATCACCTGAATCACTTCTAAATGTGTATGATATTTTTGTAACTAAAATACTTCCTAATTGATTTTTAGCAAATGGTTTTCACTAGAAAGGCCCCAATGAAACGGTGGGGACAAAGTGTCGAATTGTTTTTATTTCTAATATGAGAAATTATGAAAAGTCTTGAATTGAAAAGCGCAATAACAGGTAGGGGGTTGTTTATACAAATACAACGGAGCACTTTTATATGTCGCAGGCCACTCATGTGCTATATTTACGAAACTGGACGTTGATTTTCAAATAGATTCTACGAAATTAGTTCAGGAACATTTATCCAATTTGCATCACTATGATATAAAAGACCCCAAAGTATCAGTCAGTATCACTACGATGTAACAAAGTATTTTATTACCGGTTAGTAACCTATCATGTATTATTTTACTTGGTGAAAAAAAAGTGATAATCAAATTTAATTTGTTTTTTTTATCTTTAGAAAGTTCTCTAGGAGGGGCTAAAGTATAAATTAATAGACATTATTACAATCCTGAAACAGCAAGGTTTTATTATATGTTCCTTTATTTCAGTGGTTCTCGACCTGTCGCGACCCCTTTGTGTTATCGAAAGACCCTAATATAGGAGCGTCCAAGACAATCTAAAAACACATATGTATGAATTAGCAACGAAAATGACTTTATGGTTGAGGTCATCACAACACGAGGGACTGTATTGAAGGGTCACGGCATTAGGTCATCTTTTGTTTATTTGTTATCACTTACTCATTTCGAATTCTTTTTCACAGCCATCCATCGTTTACTTACCTGTATTTCTTTTTTTTTTCTATCAAAGATTCCGTACTCACTCTCCGTTCATTGACATTTCTCTGTAATGTGTTTTCTCTCGTAATCAACACAGCATAAAGTACATTCTTTGTACTACTTTTTTTATTCCTATATTTGAATTGTTTAGCTAGCTGCCGAAGGCGTTTTGTCGACACGTTCTTATGCTTGAAGAAGACGAAACCAAATTAATCTAGTTCGTGTTTTGTATTTTAATAGGAGTCCAGTCTAATGATGCTTAATAAACAAACTCATTACTTGATAACATAATATGATACCAGACGTTAGCAATTATCTATTCCCTTCGCTCAAGCTCACAGGTGTAAATGTGTATTAAAAGTTTTCTTTACTTTGGCACATGCGATTTCACTTTTTCATTAGAGACGGGCAGTTTCTTAAACTTGTCAAATGTCAAGTTAAATAGTCAGATAAAATTTAACAAGACATTCTTTTGTGATATATTTATTTTAAATCTTTAATGGTAAAATTTAATTTAAAAAAACAACAAATACATTTTTAAAAAAAGCTAAATTAAAATTTGTATTCGAAAAAACATAAGATTTTGTTAGTTACTAGTTTTTTCTGGCTTTTTAAAGTAATTTTTAATCCACTTTTAATGCGTAATTGGAAATGAAACGGTGCACTCGGACAGCGCCAACGAAACGACCTGAAATAGAGCAGATGTAATAAATGTTAACTTTAGTTAACGATCCTTTATAAAGTCAACAGCATATTCTTTTACCTAAGTTTGTCAACATAATGTAAAACTACGTTTATTTAATGCTATTATTAATTCAGCATAATTCTTTAATTAAAATATATGTGTAGGTAATATACAAAAGACAGGAAAGGAATGCTACTAAATTAGCTCTTAATATTTAAAAGAAAATTGTCTTATTCTCATGAATGTCTCACTCGTGATATCTGATCTTCATAATAAAAGATCTGCATCGTCATACTTAAAAGGTATCATCCTGGTAAAGGGACGTCATTTGGGTAGGGCATGGTGGAATGTGCAGGGTTTATTTTAATTAATATTTACTTTGGTGCCTCCAGTAATACGCAAGTTAACAAGCGGTATAAGTTGTGTTTTCGCCCCCTCCCCCTTGAAAAAAACCTTCCCTGGTATTATTGAGTACAGTTGTCAACTGGCGAATTTTGAAACATACCAGAATGTTAATTATTTGAAGATGGTTTTTTTTTTAAAAAATGAGAAAAAATAACTTAATCTCTAACCCTAATGCTTCTATTTCACAGATCTTCAATATAATACTAACGTTGACTTTAATAACACATACTGTGACTTTTAAAGGTTAACTTACATTGATATTAATGGCAGTGATTTTGCTGGTCTGGCGTTACTGTGTTTAAAAAAATAAAAAAACGGATTTTTTTTAATGATGTTATTTTAGTATGTTTAATAATTTATATCACTCCTAACAATTTCCAACGTTTACTTATTAGCCGTTTTCAAAATGGAAATTAAAAAAAACCCAATATCTATGTAATACATTGTATAGAATTTTAATTACTATTATTTTTAGAAAAAAAAGCAACACAATAACTTACCGAAAAAAATGCATTCCAAAAACTCGTTAATTTACTAACATGTTTTACAAATACCCTTTAACTCAGATACATGTTTTACAAATACCCTTTAACTCAGATACATGTTTTACAAATACCCTTTAACTCAGATACATGTTTTACAAATACCCTTTAACTCAGATACATGTTTTACAAATACCCTTTAACTCAGATACATGTTTTACAAATACCCTTTAACTCAGATACATGTTTTACAAATACCCTTTAACTCAGATACATGTTTTACAAATACCCTTTAACTCAGATACATGTTTTACAAATACCCTTTAACTCAGATACATGTTTTACAAATACCCTTTAACTCAGATACATGTTTTACAAATACCCTTTAACTCAGATACATGTTTTACAAATACCCTTTAACTCAGATACATGTTTTACAAATACCCTTTAACTCAGATACATGTTTTACAAATACCCTTTAACTCAGATACATGTTTTACTGATTAACTTACGGAATTGTCTTTGCACCAGCTCACAACCTAACGATGGCCTAAGTTTTCTCCGGACAAATTCATGAAGGAAAGCGCCATAGATGGCACCACAGTTTTCATCGATGTAATTTGTAACACAGGTCAAATCTCGCTCAATCAAGCTGGGTAAATTTGAAGAACGTTGTACCCATTGGTATAATAAAAAAGAATATAAATGCAGCACCAAGACACATCTTTTTGGGAGATGGCTGAATATGCGACACAATTAACTGAATACTGTCGTTTCTTTAATAAGTGTTAAACTCCTCCAAGCTTTTTAAATGAGGCATTTAGATTTAATAATAAAAGAAAAAAATCAACACACAAATATTTGCCTATGTTCTAATATATATTTAAAAGGTGATGGGTATATATAGCTAAGACACTTTTGCATGATATGTTGTGTGATGTACTCAAGGCAGATTTATATTATATAATATTTGCTATAGCCATTGCTGTTTTATTTATAAACTAGAATATATCACCCGATGTTATCTGGATAATAATGGTCGACACTTTGCGACAATTTCTACCTAATATTGCGAAATTTCTTCACAATTCCGTTTTTTTTAAAAAAAAGAAGTAACTATGTAATGATGTCTACGTTTCTAGAGTCATGAAGTTTGGAGAAGTATTTTTGTTCTTAATTTATTACGATTACCTTGCTTCTTTTTTAAATGATTACTATTTATATCATTATAGTCACTGCAGGAGTTTATTGACGGCTGACTTCTAGCTAGAAAAAAACTTTAGACGTCTTGTGTTTTTAAATTGTTAAATATTCGGCCTACCCTACCCTACCCTACCCTAACCTACCCTAACCCTTTTCATGTCATTTTGCTTATTTTTTTTTCTCTAAAAAATTGGAAAAAAGAATCTTAGATTTAAAACAAAAACTCAAAGGTTTTTAATTTATTTTATATTTTAGATTAAGAAATTATTTCCTTTCTTGTGAGGCGTATCTTGTGATGAATGGGGCAAAATGAAAAAAATTAGAAAATCAATATCATAGTTGGTTTTTTTGCCAGATTCCGATGGTATTAAAATTACTTCGTTTCTTTTGTGTTACATTGGATATCCAAGCTCATTCTTGTATAAATCATTTTTTTTATATTCAAGACAGTTTTTATATTATAAATAATGTGCTATAATCATTGTAGTTTTGTAGAACACATAATATGCTCTTACGGGCAAACGACTTCGTCCTCGAATGGTAGGTGGTTCAAAAATGCATTGCTAAGAGCGGAAATCTCACAATCGCGAATGGTAGTGAACATCTCCGATTTCTTAGTGGCGTTGGTGATGCAATCTGAGTGAGCAGCAGCATGGAGTACTGTAAAGGAAAAAAAAACCACTTTAATAATTTAGAATAAAACTATTTGGATCTATTCAATATCTACGTTAGAGTTTTGTACTTTTGTAAAGCCAACAGCTGGAGTATTATTATTTTGCAAATCCTTTGACAAATTTTATGAGACAGTTTAAGAGAAAGTTTTCAAGAGTTTTCTCAACTTTTTAATTGTTTTAAAAACGTAGAACTCTCGTGTCAAACCTTGACTTCCTTCATTTGAACAAATGAACTTGACAGCTGCCAATGTACTTTCGATTTCTTCTGTAAGATCTTCATTATTGCATTGGGGCTTTAACTCTTCATTGCAATGTTTATAATCGGCTTCCGCTCTGTAAAAAGATAATGAGAAAATAAGATATACCTGACTGTGTTGTTTTGTTTTGTTATCTTTCAACCCTTATAAGAGCCTTGCATTGCTAGAATGTTGTATATAGTTCAGCCTTAGTGGCACATGGGTGGGAGACCCATAGTATGACGGCTGGCTGATTACCAAAATGCACCAGACTGTCTCTCACGCGTCTCAAATTAACTAACGAATGCTGCAAGCACAGTTTTTACAGTGTGTCGCAAATGACCAGGAATGTACGAGGGAAAGATAGGGGCAGGGACCAGGCAACGTTACAATAGGTGAGTGAGGATTTGACTTTGGCATTTAAGAATGTTTTATATTAGGACATGGAAGACATAGCCTGGGAACCTAGCCAACAGGCCAATACACATCCGCAAGATAATAGCTAGATAGACAACATCATCCCAGCAGGTATTTGCGAAATAGATATGCCTTCAAATCAATTTTGAAAGACTCCAGCGACTGGCTGTTTGTGAGAGAGACAGGAAGGGTTTTGGAAATTGTTCGGCCAGCAAATGCGAAAGTACGCCCCTCTTAAGTCTCAAGGCGAACACACTGTATCGAGAGTTTGCCACTATCTGATGAGCGGAATTGTCTAGTGGGTACATAAGGCGTCAGCAGCTCTTTGAGATAGGACGGTGTCAGGTCATGCAAGCAGCTGTAGCACAGAGTTGCAATTTTTTACTCTATGCGAATGCGGATCGACAGCCAATGCAACTCTCTCAGAAGTGATTTAGCATGGTCTTATTTGTGTTTGCGAAGAACAATGCGAGCCGCATTATTCTGTGCTTTTTGAATTTTATCTAGGAGCGTATATTTAGGACCCACCATAAGAGCATTACAGTAGTCCATGCGTGATAGCACGAATGCAGATAACAGCTTTTTTGATGCATCTAGTTTTAAGAAAGTTCTTATATGACTAATTCTGCGCAGCTCTAGAAATCGCCTTGCAAAGCATGTTAATGTGATTTTCCATAGTTAGAGTTCTGTCTAAATAGACACAAATGTCTCGCATTGTTTTAGCAAACTCAATCTTTATACCTGAGAGAGTAAGGGTCTGTGTGTTGTTTATATATTTTAGTTTTTGAGCGATAGCCCAAGGGATCATCTCGGTCTTTTCATCATTCAGTTTGAGCTTGTTTATAGTAATCAAGTGCTTAACTGATCCACTGTCTTCTGCTAAGAACTGAGGGAACTGAGAGTAGGAAGAGCGTTCACTACCTATAAGAGTCAAGCGCAGGAAAAGCGTTCAACAACTAATGAACATAATATTCAGTCGCAACAATTACTAATGAACGCTCATACTCGACAACGAGTTAACATTTCACATAAAGTAGTTAGAGAACGAGGGTAGAAGAGAGACGACCAAAGTTTTCTACAACCAATTTTCTGAATATCCTGCGAATTTGAAGTGAATTAGTTTTAAACCATTATAAAACACAAACTAATCTTTTTTTAACTTTTAAATGTTTTGACTCTTTTTCAGTACAATCATTTAGAAAAATGAAAACAAAACCTGGTGTAGCTTTCCACCTCACAGGGCATTATTATCTAGACAACCAGACACAAATTTTTAACACAATAGCAAAAGAAATAAACACATATATACAAAAAGAAAATCATGTAGTAACCATGTGGAGAAACTTAATGTAACACGTTAAATTGTACTGGCCGATAAAAGAATTTAGAGGTCTCTATTTTACTCACTGACAGAATTGTTCGTAAATTCCTTCCATGTAAAAGATTTCTAAATAATCCAAAGGCATATTACATCGCTCCAACGGACCACATGTTTCATTACTTCTTAAAATATTGCATTCTGGGGAAGAAAATGGTGAGGCGTAACTCTCGCGAACTCTCTAACTAACGGTAACGAAAATATGTTTCACGGTGTCCAATTATTAATACAGTAATTGAACGAAATAAGAGACATTTATTGTATGTCGTTCTTTGAGTCTTGACTCTCTGTACCAGCGTCCTATACAGCCATGACAAAAGACAACGACATGTGTCCATGGTCTAAGCAATGCGCGTGCAGCCAGCATTGGCGCCTCTTGTTAAGCGTGGACAACAAACTTCACATTTTGATCAGTTCTTAACTTCTGTATTAGTTACGCTCTGAACACTCTACAGACGTCTCAGGTGAAAGCTGTAGAATGTCCCACCGTGCTTTTTGTGATGGTCCTCACTTAACTGCTATACATGAGCGTACTTAAATTTCGATTCGAACGGGCGTTATAAAAGCAACGGTTTGGTCGTGCACTCCATTGTAGCTGTACTAAATTACATAAATACTATCGTTACGAATCGAAGAGCGTAGGGCAGAAAAGATTATTGGTGTTTGTTCGGGCTGTTTCAGTTTGTCAAAGGCGTATTTGAATTTTTGAATTTGTACTTAAAAATAAGCAACCTGTTGTCTAGCTGATACCCTAGCATTTACACGCTCCTGGCATCTCAGATATTGTAATCTAAGTGCATGATGTTCATAAAGTTTTACCAAAGTGTAATATAGTGGCATGTTTTTGTTTTGTTTAAACAGCCTATCGCCAATGACATGCTAAATATTGTTTTCACTTTACCATCACCTTTCACTAATGTAGTCTTAGATCAAAATGACTTAAAACTTACCACAGACGATGACGACACACGACAAGGCCAGGATGAGCTTGAACATTTTCATCGAATCAGACAACGCTCAACTGACGTCCAGCAGTCTTCTAATCTGGTTGTCTTTTCACAATGTCATATTTACTGCTGTTTTATAGAACAAACATCTGTAACATGTTGCACATAATAGCTCAACAATTATTTTGATATTTTAAAAACTCGCTTTGTAGGCGCAGGCGTTTCAAAATAAATAATTTGAAGGCTATTACATGAAAGGGTAAGTTCTCCTTTTGAACATATGGAGGGGGGGGGGAGCAGATGCTCTCACCCTGCCCTAGCCAAATGACAACCATAATTTGGGTGCAATTGAAATTTTTAGTTTTGACTGTGAGAATAATAAAATAAAATAGAAACTAAGGGGATTGGTGTAACTAAGGGCATCGGTGTAACTGAGGGCAGTGTTGTAACTGAGGGAGTGTTGTAACTGAGGGAGTGTTGTAACTGAGGGAGTGTTGTAACTGAGGGAGTGTTGTAACTGAGGGAGTGTTGTAACTGAGAGCAGTGGTGTAACTGAGGGCAGTGTTGTAACTGAGGGAGTGTTGTAACTGAGGGAGTGTTGTAACTGAGGGCAGTGGTGTAACTGAGGGCAGTGTTGTAACTGAGGGCAGTGGTGTAACTGAGGGAGTGTTGTAACTGAGGG